TGTGAATTTCATAGGAAAATGTTGTTTTTAAAGCTTGAATTGACTTGGACCATTTTCAAAATTAACTGAATGTCCTATAATTGACTTAAAGTAATAAAAATTTGTGATTTTTATATTTGAGCCGTTTATTTTGAAAGTGGTGAAAGTTCAATGTCATCGAAAGAAATTGTAAGTGGCGTTGCGTGGGGTATTTAGACAATACAAGCTCAGATTCGGCATTTTGAATTTCTTTAAAAAAAAGAACTTATACCACTTTCAAAATAAACGGTCCATTTGAAACAACAACTTTAACGAAATAATTCATAAACATTTATTAATCACTTTTAAAAAGTAATCCATTTTTATCATATAATTTTTATTATATAATTTCTTTAAATTGTTGACTTAGACCACTTTCATAATTAACACTAAATGAATTCCGTATAACGTTGTAATTACAACTACTATCTAAAGGTTCATTTTTGACGATATCGTAAAAATTACATTGAATAAATTTAGTTTAAAATCATGTCGTGTGTGAAATAAGTGATAAATTCATTTTTTTTTAAATTTTGACTTAGACCACTTTCATAATTACGGGCACAAATAATGCACACACACGCGCGCGCAAAGCACAGGCACGCGCGTCTGATGTGCTCCTAGCCGAAAATGGCGACCACGGGGGCGCGAGACATGATGGGAGTCAGGAGGCATTGTTTTTTTTCAGTCGGCCGAATTCGAGTCCCTCGTTTCGTGGAAATTCAGTGTTGCGGCTAATTTGGGGCTCATAGGAAGGGATCATTTCTGCCAATAAATAATAATAATGATAAGGGATTATCATTATTATCAAGGGTTATTATCGGACTCCTTCCGTGCAACGAACAATAGTAAACGTAATGTTTCTACTATTGTAAATGTTTATAAACATTATCTTGAACGGAGACACCTGCGGTAGAAGAATAGCCGACAGCTAAATCCTTTACAAAGATGGACAAACTTTCGAGTCGAATTTCTTGAAAACTGAGTCCTTGATAAAGAAATGTTGCACCAAAGTTGTTTCTTATTTTTTCACGTAGAATCACCCTTTGCTCGGGGTTGTACTACGAGTTCCGGGCCCACCCTGTATTTAGGTCAAACACGGCTATTTATACTGCAGAAAGTATCGTAAAAAGTTCAACTCTATTTCCTGCATGCCGAAAACGAAACGGGAACCGACAGAAAAGTGATATTTACCCGATAACCAGCTTGGAAAACGTTTTCGCATCGCGTTAATGGGCTTAGCACGGAACACGTGCCCCGGCTGAAGTAAATGTGGGCCACAAACCTTACGCGACCGTTTACATCGTAATTAACAGCATCCATAAAGTGGAGCGTTACTTGCTCTCAACTTGAAGACCACGATTGTTTTCCGTGATCCGCTGCGCTGAAAGTGATCGTTTCATTATAAGCGTGCTACTTATTTCATTGCCATAAACATTTCTTCTACGACGTTTACGTTGCGAATGCCAGTCTGTTCGGGGATTAATGAAATATCTGATGCTTACTCTACCGGCGCAGGAACTAGCATCCATTGACCCAATTTTCCACGATATAATCGTTCGAAGATTCGGTTCGTCAAGTTTTTCTGCGATGATTTACTATTTAAAAATCGTAGCAACCACGGCAATTGCGGGTTAATCAAGCAAACCCGCGATGATAGGATCGCCGCTCGCGAAACTATTATCGGAAACGATAAATTTCTTCTTTGTTTGCAATGCAGCAGTTACAATTATCAGCTTGAATTTTCTGGCATACGTTCCTCTGCATTTTCTGTCAATTAAGTTGATATTTATGTCCGCGGAACGACTATTACTCCGTCGTCGTTCAACAGTCTAACGCATCAAAGTTTACAGCAATCGAAGTAACCACGGCCGCGAGTCCTCATTAGCAACAATCATTAGAAACATCCAATTCCTTACTTATTCGTTACGACATAGTCCCCATAACATTCTCCTAATTTGATATAGATTTATTTCTTCTTTACCAACGGTTCTCCCTTTCGTCGCGCTCCTCGCGCACGCAATCCTCGAAACTTAAACGGAATCCGCAGGATCAGAATTCTGTACACGCGAGGATTAATAATCGAATACGTTTTGTTCGAGCTCCGGTGGAAATGGAAGCAACTCGATGCGCTCCACTTAATTATCCGATACACCGGAGGCGAAAATTATTTTGCCCATCCCAGCTTTTCCCTGAATGGCTGAAAACAGCAGATTTGTATGTTTCTTATTCGTTTGGAAATTTCGGGATGGGTACGATGATGATCTAACACGTTGATTACATAGTCAATTATCGTAATAATTCGATCAGGTCGAAAGGATTTATTTAATTAAACAAAGACTAAGGTGACTTTCAATTCTCCCGTATTCCGCAGATGGCAGACAAAATGTAATTAATCCAACCGCGTATTTTATTTTTAGGCTTGATTAAATAATACCGTCACCTAATTGTGGGTAGTGTGACAATTGACGTATTAATTCTTGCGCATCCGACGCCGGGTCATCCGGAACTTGAAAATATGTTTATAAACTTTTATACTTTTTAAACGAACTCCTCTTTTGTCCATATTATAAACATTATAGGGTAAGATCCTGTACTAAGAAGTTAGATGCAACGCAAGTATAATACAATAAAAATTTTGCCATGGATCAAAAGTGACCGATCAAAATGGATCAAAAGCGCCGTGTCGCTTGTTTAAGTCGGCTATTCGAGGGTTAATGGGACGTATCAGTATATGTAGATTTGGAAACATCAATTTATTGAGAAATTCAAAGAGCTACTCCGATATGTTCGATTCAATTATTCCAATGTTTTCGATTCAGCTGTTCCATTGTTTTCAATTCAACATTGTTTTCGATCAAATAAAACATGGGTTTTCGCTAGCCGTTTTATATCAAAATACATTTTGTTCATGTTTTATTCTAAGCTAAGAAGACTAAAACTTTTAGACTAAACAGATTATTTCTTGTTTTCTTTTTTAAACTTTATGTAAATTGTATCGTAATTATTGTGGATGTTATTATTTGAAATTGTATCATCTAGCATGATATTTAGAACATTGACAACTTTTCTCTGACGATATTTTGTTCGCATTTTATAAAAGGATGCGTTGCGTTTAATTATGAAGAGCAAAATAAATATATTTAAAATAAAAATAAAAATGAACTAAATTTATATTTATATTTTGTTCTTCATAATTAAACGCATCATATCCTTTTATAAAATGAGAACAAAATATCGTCAGAGCAAAGTTGTCAATTTTCTAAATATACATACATACACGCTGGTAGTAAAAATGTCAACACATCGAGAAATAATAATTAACATATTTTTAATACTATCCTGTTAAAATATTTTATTCTCGGTAACCGTAATAGAAACAATAAGAAATCAGTTATGTTCACCGGCATTACTATAAAAAAAGTTGTTACAATATTTCAACATCGGGTACGCTATGCGTCTGCATTTTTTAGGTTTTCGGATATTAATTAACGATGCCGTGTATTTTATGACCAGAATCACTAAACGTTCTTATCATTTTCACAAAATGCTCTAAAATAGTTGCTTCAATGCGTCACAAATCTAATGTTGACTTCTTAGCTGCGGCGATTTTCCTCGATGTGATTTTTTTAAACGTTGACGTCAACTCTTGACGTCATTTTTTTAACGATACGATAATATAGAGGTTTATTTGTTTATTCCTTGTTCGAAAACTCATACGTAACGTACACATATGTCAGTAAAATCGTTTTTTCGTTATTCTTTCAACCTTTTCAATATTCGAGTATATAAGAATAAAATTAATTTTATATGTAAACGTATAAGAATGGAGCTCTTTTTATATATAAATGTATAAGAACAGAACCGTTTTTATATATGAACGTATTAGAATAGAACTGTGTTTTTATACGCGAGCGTATAACAATTATTGTATCGTTTCTACACGCGAACGCATAAGAATAGACGTTTTATACATACATGTGAACACATCAGAATAGAACTACCTTTACATACGACTATATAAGAACAGAGAACCGTCTCTATTTTAATTTCTATGGAATCGTAACCGTGGCCACATGTATACAATGAAAACAACGAAACACCGATTTTGGTCGTGGCTCAGCCCGCGGGGCATAGCTCGCCGTAACTAATTGGAACAAGATAGATTTAAGAAAGATCTATCTTTTGGTCGAAAACCACCGCTCCCTGGATCGGATCGACGCGAAGTGACCGCGTGGCTGCCGGTGCCGGTGCCGGTGGAATCGTGCGCCACGATGGGAACCGTGCAACACCGAGGAGGGAGTCGGGCACCGATATGGGAGGAGTTCTCCATCGAGTTCTCTCTCCGTTCAGAGACTGCATGGAGCAGAGGTGGTCTCTGCTCACCTGAGGATTTCAGGTGGCAGTCGCCCTGCTGAGTTGTTCAGCGACGGGTACCTCTCGCAAGGAACAGAGACGGTTGTGAATCCAGAGAATCCCGCGAGTTCTCAGTCGAGTTCTCGTTCTCCACTCTATCACTATACTTAACAGCACGCTCTAACGTATATCACGTCAAACAGATAGAAAGATAAACACGGAGAGAGAAAAAGAGAGAGAGAGAAAGAGAGAGAGAGTGTGTGTGTGTGTGAGAGAGAGAGAAAGAGATGGGGAGAGTGTAAATGCGTGAGTGAGAGAGAGAGAGAGAGAGAGANGTATAAGAACAGAACCGTTTTTATATATGAACGTATTAGAATAGAACTGTGTTTTTATACGCGAGCGTATAACAATTATTGTATCGTTTCTACACGCGAACGCATAAGAATAGACGTTTTATACATACATGTGAACACATCAGAATAGAACTACCTTTACATACGACTATATAAGAACAGAGAACCGTCTCTATTTTAATTTCTATGGAATCGTAACCGTGGCCACATGTATACAATGAAAACAACGAAACACCGATTTTGGTCGTGGCTCAGCCCGCGGGGCATAGCTCGCCGTAACTAATTGGAACAAGATAGATTTAAGAAAGATCTATCTTTTGGTCGAAAACCACCGCTCCCTGGATCGGATCGACGCGAAGTGACCGCGTGGCTGCCGGTGCCGGTGCCGGTGGAATCGTGCGCCACGATGGGAACCGTGCAACACCGAGGAGGGAGTCGGGCACCGATATGGGAGGAGTTCTCCATCGAGTTCTCTCTCCGTTCAGAGACTGCATGGAGCAGAGGTGGTCTCTGCTCACCTGAGGATTTCAGGTGGCAGTCGCCCTGCTGAGTTGTTCAGCGACGGGTACCTCTCGCAAGGAACAGAGACGGTTGTGAATCCAGAGAATCCCGCGAGTTCTCAGTCGAGTTCTCGTTCTCCACTCTATCACTATACTTAACAGCACGCTCTAACGTATATCACGTCAAACAGATAGAAAGATAAACACGGAGAGAGAAAAAGAGAGAGAGAGAAAGAGAGAGAGAGTGTGTGTGTGTGTGAGAGAGAGAGAAAGAGAGGGCTGGAGATAGGCTGCGCGATGCAAGATTTTTACGGTTGCTTTAACACGGGCAGTACACACGATCGGTCGACCGAGGTACACGCGTTTTTCACGGTTAGTTGAAACCCGTTATCGACCATTTTCATTTGTCACTTAATCAACGTTCTATCCCGCTCGACGTTGTCGTTTCCATTGATTTCTCTATTACGACCCATTGTCCAGCAGCGGAGACGTCCTCGGCGGACCAGGTTCGACAAAGAGTTGGCTACCGTTCGTTATTACTGGCTCCCGAGAAGCCGATGATGGGTAGTAGTTGGTGGATGGCGGTGAGATCAGAGATCAGAGACACCTATTTCGCGAGGACACGATACATCCTAGTTGCCGGTCGGATGTCGGAGGCCCGTCGAACCGTTCAGTCGACGAACTTGTTCTAACGGCGAGTGATTCGATTACGATCTTGCCTTTTTTCTCAACGATTTCTCTTCGGACACCCTTGTGCTTTCTTCGTTCTGATCGAGCCTCTAAATCTGCGCGAAGCTAACGTACCTCTCAGTGCTGAGACTGCGTTCGTATACGTTTAGTGACAGCAGTGAGTATCGAGAGATTGTGGACGCTGGCTGTACGCGAGAAATATTGTCCTGATATTTATTTGTATTATAAATTCAATTATATCCATTTCATATTGAACAGTTGAGAAATGTCGGTAGGTTTCTCCGGTGTCGAAGCGTCAGTGAATAAGCAGTGAATGTTACGAGATTAGTGGAAGTAACGCGTATTTTTTTTTTATTTATTTTAATTCTTTCGTTGTATTATACTTGCGAAGGGTTTGGTTTTGATTTTATTCGAAGTATAGACCGTTTATTTGGCAACGGACCGGTGTAATTCTGGGAATAATTGAAACGCACCAGCCACGGCGTGTGATTATCGGTTGCCGAGTAAAGTGTGAAGGATGGTGGCAACGATCGAGAGATCGATCGGAATCGGGCAGTCACGATTCGGCAAAAGTAAAATTGGTAAAGAGAAGCCGGATGGGCGGATCACGGGACTGGTTTGGATCGGGACGATGGAAAGTGAACGTCACGGGGAAGAGTGATGCATCGCGTGATCAAGAATGCTGATAAATGTTCGATGATCGGTGTCGGATCACGGCATTAAAATTACGGGGCAGAGTTTGTGTGAAGATGCTTGAACGGTTCAGCCGTAGTGGCCTGTAAAACGAACTGCATAATGAACTATATTACGCGATAAATTGACAAATCTATATCGCCGCGTTCGTGTAATTCATTATGTAATTACCGGTTTCGTATAAAACTTGTCGGTCTGTGTATAAACGTGTCAAACAGCAAATTCGAATACAATTTCCGAGAAGGTCCGAGCAGACGAAAAATAAACGCGCAAACGATTCGAGAATAGATTGTATTTGGCTAGATCGACGCGGTTGTGAGTTGACATAAACGAAACGCCTTGGACGCGAGACATGATGTGAGATATATAATTATGCGCGACGGAGAAAGAGGTTAATGAAAAGAAATTTTCGTTACGGTAAACGCATCTATCAATCGGCGTCCAAGAGTGAGTTAATTATTTGTCGAGTTTTATTTTTTATTGGTGGTAATAAATCGTACGATAAGGTTGGAACAGTTAATTATATATCGGAACGGAGGATGTGCGAGTTCCGATCGACAATCGGTCGTGATTTTCTATGGACTTCATGTGTCTTCGGTGAAATGTGTTTCCTGCGCGTTTTCTGCATACGAAAGGTAATCATTTCGTGTATATGTCTGGTCAATGATTTATTGATATTATTAAAGAAAGAGTCTTGTTGGAAACTTTATTTGCGTTTAAAGTTCAAGGTGCTCGTTTCAGTTTTTACTCCTTCCACTGTAAAAAGTTTCTGTTTATTCCAGTCTTCTACATGGAGCGATATGTTCTATTGTTTACGAAAAAAATTGTTTTACCTATAATTGAAATTATTTTCTTCGTTTTCGATACATACGTACGTAATCTGCCATGCGCCATACGTAAATTGCCACCGTGTATCCGGCAATCGACATTTAACTCTTTTAATGAGGAACCGGAAACAGGATTCGCTATCAATTATTATGTTCCATTAATGAATTATTCATCGCGTTACTTACAGTTCTTTTTCTTATGCAAAAAGATCGCGTGGAACGAGGTCGCTAAAGATATAAAGTGTTTTACTATCTTACGTTCGTAATTGGGTAGTCAATAGCGTTCAGAAAGAATTCGATGCTCTTACGATAAGTATGGCGATTTTTATGGAATTATTGGAACAGCTTCCGATTGGTCTCGCCTTTTTTTTGTGGAACAAAAAACTGTCGGTTAGTTCGGACCGGAAGAACAGTTAAAAGAGATAAACGTTTTAATTAAGATACTAAAACTCATTATGTCAGACGTGATATGGCGAACATCGGAGTCGTTTTAATGGCGATCCAATTAAATTGAAGTACGAACGTTGCTCTGATAAAAGATGTTTTTTTTTATTCAGATCTAATCGAGCTGTTATAGATCGCTCAGATGATCGATATTGTATGCTGTCGATATTTTGAGATTCCTAATTATTATATATTCTCATAATATAGATCATAAATTCATATAGATATAGATATAGAAATATTATAGATTCCTGTAATATAGATTATAAATTCATATAGATTCATATAGATATAGATTTAGAAATATTATGGATTCCCCTAATATATATTATTTAAAATAACCCTGATATAATATCATTGTACGTGCAGACAATTAAAACATAGTATAATATTAATAATACAAATATTTCATTGCCAATAGCATATTATAAAATGTATATAATACTATAAAATTTTATATTATATTTATATATTTTAAACATTTACGATGTAGTTTCATGATAGTTGTAACACACTTTGTAACACTTTCGCTGCTAACATTCTTTTCTCCTTCCGTTTCTTCATTGATAATACTAAAATAATGACTCCATAAGGATTTTTCTTGCACGAGATCGTCGAACAAACGCTAATTTTACGATATCTTATCGGTATTCATTGACACGCTGCAATGATGACAAGAACCTTGAAATAATGACAGCATCATTGATCGTTAGAGGATAGTCACAAGCTTAATGATTTCATCACGTTCAATTTAGTCGATCACGATAATCTTAGATCTTCATCTAACTAACACCGAAACAAAACTTAATACTCTATTTGGAGCCTATTCAAATGAAATTGTACTTAACCCTGACCTTATCTACCATAACCCAGACCTAGCCCAGATACAGCTTAATCCTTATGTGCTGTTCGTGTAACTGTTGCTTTGCTTCTCTCTGCAGGTGATTAGATCAAAGGTGCAATTAAATTTAATTAGCACGTTGTAAATGCCAGGTTGATTTACAAATTTGCTCGGCGATGCCTAAACGATTGTTCGCGACGGATTTATAAAGTACTTCTCAACAGAAATGTTGTTCATTGTTTCGGGCGAGCTTGCTTCGGTGCCCATAAGAAATTCAGATTCACGGTGAAACGAATTCGAACGCTGCACGAAAATGAAAATCGGTATTGGCAAACGAATGGTCATGACCATGACCCAATTTAAGATCCATACCGATCTGCCTCACCCGAGTTAAGTGCAGCCTGACCAGGCTTAACCATCTTTTCAGTTCGCTTTAGTTGCATCAGTGCCGGTACCGTAAACGGCACCGATGATAATTAAGGTCGTGTCGTGAGAATCGAGAAGAATGGGCGATCGATCGCGGAACAGTTAGTGTGCGTCTACATGCATCTAGACACAAACGGAATCTCATTTTCCCTCGCATGTTTATTCACGAATCGCATTACCATTTTCATTATCTCCGATAAATTTGTCTAAAGTTCTCGATCACCGGAGCAAGAAAATCAATTCACGATCATTCGAACGACCGTTCGCTTGCGACTACTTATTTAGTGCAATGCGCGTTCGTTTCCTTTATACATCTTTGTTACGCTTCTTACATCTACGACGAAGTCCAATGTTCTCGATTACTGGGAGAAGGGAATCACTTCACCAGTCGAATAACCATCGATTTGTATCTACTTACTGTATATATACATATATAAATTCGTAAAAAAAAAAATATATATATTTTAAATAATAAAATATAATATTTATAATATATATTTTATTATTTTTATTATTTTAATATTAATAATATATATTTTAAATAATAAAATATAATATTTATATAATATATGTTTTATTATTTGTATTATTTTAATATTAATAATATATATTTTAAATAATAAAAAATATATATATATATATTTTAAATAATAAAATATACATATATATATTTGCTGTATTTGCTAATTGTAATTGCTAGCGTAAAAATTGAGTAATAGAAAGTAGAAGAAAGTAGAGAATACTTGTGAAACTAGAACTACAACAAAATGGCGAATTAAACATTTTTTTCACGTACGATTATTACAGTTATAACAATGCGTTTGTATTATTTATTGGTATTTTCGTAAAGTAATGCAAAACTTTCAGTGTCACTGAACTTGATGTTAAATGAAGAAGACAGTATATTTTATCGCTACAATGAAATATAAGCTCGTAACGTGAAATCATCTTCAAATAATTCGCCTCTCACTGCACGTCTACACAACGTTATATCTGTTGCGACACCATCACGCTTGTTACTTGCGACTCCTTTTTACACCAAATGGGAGAATACGTTCTTTCTAACGAAATAGGCTGTACCACAAAAATGATAAAACTATAATCTAGAACACTTTCTCATCGATTGGAAATACTTTCATAATAGATTATTCGACAAGGTGTTTTTCTTTAGTAGAACATTTCACCGTTTTATTTTATTTTAAGGGATCTAGATACATTCAGTTTGGCGAAATTTATGTGTGATACAGTTCTTGGAAAAGTATTTCACACTTATATTGTTTTATTGGTCATCGTTAAACAACTGTCCAAGGTGAGGATTTGAGATTTTTAGCATATAATAATAATTATTATAAAATGCATAGTATTCTCCTACGCCTTGGAAATAGTATTCAAGCTTGTCTAATGGAGATTAGTGTAAAATATGATATCTTTAGTAACAATTGTTTATTACGTTTTAAAAGCTCTTTTTTCAGAGCCATTTTTTAGTCATTTTACAACGTGTACGATGATCGACGAAAAGAAGTACGTGTCAAATGTTTTTTCAACAACTACACTCTCACATAAGTCTCAAATTTTACTTCAAAAAAAGAATGTACTTCCGTGTTTATTTTTCGTGTGTATGTATATATTGCAGTATAAATGCTTCCGAATCTTTTCACAATGTTTACAATTAATCTTTCGTTTTGTTATTCATCTATGACAAAAATCAATAGAAGAAATACAAAACAGTGACACTGCTAGAGGAATTTAATAATTTTTTTTTTCGTCTATATTATTTATAACTTATTAAAATTATTCGACGGAGAAGCATATATCTGTATATTTCTTGTTTCTTGCAATCGATGCATATCATTTTTAATTTCTATTTAGATTTATAGTCTTTTTATAAAGTGTTAGAATTGTGTGTAGGTACAGTAATTGCTATTAAGCAGACGCGACATTAAATAAATAAATTAATAGTAATAACTTATCGATGCATTAATATTAAATTTTATCACAGTTACGCGCATATACAGTAAATTCTCCCTAATTGACGCTCAAATTGCGCACAAAAATGGACAATTTGGAAAGAGGAGATACGATTATTCGGTAATATTAATTTATACAATTATATATTAACAATCGGTAACTATAAAGCCGCAAGGCTCGAATAATCGAATTTCCACGTCCCAAATTGTCCATTTTTGTACGCAATCCGAGCGCGAATTAGGGATAAATTACTACTGTAAATCGCTTTAAAAATGGTCTCAAGTCTACCGTTAGCAGCTTTGATAATAGATTAGAAGCCGAGTCGGTTTGATCAACCGCTCTGCAAACGACGAGAAAAGTACAAGGAGTTCGTCCATATGGCTATCTTGTTTCGCCGCGTTCCCGAGTTCCAGCCAGTTTTGTAACGTCGCAGCATTCTGCCATTAGAGGAAACGTCCCGAATGGGCCACCTTTGGCCTGAACTCGGCTCTGCAATCGGCAAGCGGCTTTTGCGAATGGGTTTATCATAGACGGCAATAAATCTCATAATTGGGGATTTAGAAATGTGCGAATGTTCGGGCATTTAATGATAAAAACAGACAGTTGACAGAAACACATCCGCGAAAGCATCCTGCCGTGTCTAATGGCGAACGTCAAAGTCGTTAAATTGTCGGCAAGGGTACCAATAATTTTCCTGAATCGTTGAATGAAATTATCGGAGGCAATTAACATGATTATGGCTCATTGGACGACGGTATCTCTTTGCTTCGTTAAACAGCGCAATCCAAGGTTTCTAAACTGTTGGGCCGCCGGGGCACAAATGTAACGAGACAAAAATTCGGGAAACCAGTTAGACGCTGTTTTGCCATTTCGGTGTCGACGTTATTCCCGGTGCTGTTAGATTCGCCATACTTTTTTGCTCCGTACTATTCACGAGATACCTGGCAGCGTTATGAAGCCATTATATTCTAATGATTGGAATAATTAGAGGAGCCTGCGTCGGCTACGGCTCTATAACGCGAAAGATTGTTGCAATTCTATGGATCGAGCGAGCGTAAATGTGTATTAGTTCCGCTCTGCAGATGGTACCATCGAAGCCATCATTTTAAGCCTGGCTATAATTACACTGAACGTTCAGGTATCCGGAACGTACCGTTTAGATTGGAGCCAATCACGAGAACTTTGAATGTTTGGAAGCGTTTCGCAGGAATCGATTGCAAGAAACTCTGGTAGATCGACGATGATCTTATAGTACGAGCGATCAGTTTCCACTCATTATTTCTATACTTAGTATACGCGCGATCGATGCACGATTGTCTAAATAAAAACGAGACGGGAAACAATTTCACGCCTTTATTTTATGATCCCGGAAACGAGGTTTTCTAAATCGTAATGGAATAATATAAACTCGACGTAAAACACTCGGGTGTTCCGTGTTTAGACCGTACGTGGTACAAAACGAGGATCATGCTGTTTAATTTGTGATATTTATGAAAAATTAAACCTGCCATGCTCTTTTTTTATGATATTAATATAATGTAAGTACATGATTTGAACGGCATATATATAATATAATATGAATGTTATTATATTCATATATTATATTATTCATATACTACATTACATCATATGTATATTGCATTATCACATATTATATTCATATATATAAAGTCATGAAAATACAAAGAATGGTTTCATCTATTATACTTTTTCGTTTTAGTTAGCACTGAAAGGATTAAACAATTCGAGAAAAGTCTGCATTTCAGATATCATCGTCTCGTGAATATTCCAACGTATAAGATTATAAAATACTTCGGGAAAATCAAAGTTATAGATGTACAGGATGTTAAAAATAAAACATTCAATGTTTGTATGGTATATATAGGACGTACTTTACTGAGAAGAAAAGCCTTAGTAAACATAGGTCATGAAAGGTCAACCGTTTCTGAAATGTAAGCATTTCTGTTTGCCCTAGCATTATGATTGACTTTGCTTGCTTCCATCCAACATGCTTGCCAAATAATTCGTCACATATGTGAAATTTTCGAGAGAGTTTGTAACTCTGTAAGAAGAAAGTACCAAGCGTGTATAGAAATGGAATGAGGACACACGGAAAATCTTCTGTGAATATCGAAAAATCAGTAGTAAGTCCATCATGAGGCTAGCAAACAAACATGTTTATATCTCAGAAACGGTTGAACTTTCGACCTGTGTTTACTAAGGCTTTTTTACTCAGTGGAGTGATGTATTTATATATATTCTTTATATTATATATAAATTTACATATATATATATATAATATATATTATTTATAAATTTAATATATAATATTTATAAATTTACTATAGTAAATACTATATGTATTTACAGAGTATTAGTATATTACAATCTTTCGTGTTATATATATATATATTATTATTAGTATATGTAATATACTAATACTCTGTAAATACATATAGTATTTACTATAGTAAATTTATAAATATTGTTATATTATATAAAATTTAAATTTATAAATATTTACAGAGTAAGTGTTTAGAGAGAATAAAAGCAGCCCTTGACAAAATTTGAATGTATTCTTTTTTGTGAAACAATCTCAAGAACAGCAAACGATACTAACAAATGAATTGAAAAAGATTGCATTGTTTTATCGCGTTTACAAAACTGTGAACAAAATTTGTTTCAATTATCGGATTTTACGGGTTCACAAACTTCGCTTGTAAGTCCTCATTATGCGGTAATGTATGTGACCATGAAAACGAACCGTCGAACAATCAGCCGTACAATTGTGTTCGCACTACGGCGACTCGATTTAGGATAAAAACCAGGAAACCTCGCCGCGCGCACGTGGCTCATTTACGTTTACATTCCGCTCGACTATACGGTGCGGTCGTTTGTAATTGAAAAAAAAACGGAGCACGAGGCGGTACCGGGACCATTAGTAAACGCGAACGAATAACTTTGCTCAGCCACGCGTATGACGTAGCACGTGCGCGCACGCGTCTCGTCTCGGTCCGGGCGTTATCGTATTAAGGTATCAATTACTTGGCCACAAAGCAATTTCACAGTACAATGGCACCGGCCGCGATCCTCGCTCGGCTCGAGCGAACCGACTGGCTGTCGGCTTAAAACTGTAATAAAATCGCTCGCCGATTTACCGGCGTTGCTCGCGTATATTTCGTGCAGTTCAAAGGACCATTCCTTCTTATACTACTGTAGGACACCTCGATTATTCCAAGCGGAGGGACACGAGTGTTCAGATAATAGAACAGTGAAATACTTGTATGGAAAAACCTTTTAGAATTAGACCTACTTAAGAATTTAACCGTATTTCATTCGTGCCAGTGTTTTACCTTAACACATATTCGTCCGCATAAGAAAAATTCGTCATTTCGCAAACAATCACCAACAGCCAAATGACGAAAATTCGTCATTTGTATATTACAGGAAACAATTGATTCTGGTTCTTTTAATTTTAAATAAATTAAATGCAACATTCCGCTTCATACTGGAACGTGTTTCGAACAGTACCATTCGCTGAAGAAATATTAATTATTTATAAAATTAAAGATTCGAAAATAATTTACTTCATCTAATAAAAAAGGGAATAATAACTTTGTGTTTTCAATAATTCATTTCAACTTTTTTGTGGATCTAATTTTTTTTTAACTTCAGAAAGTAAAAAATGAAATTAAAAATTTATATATAAAGACAAATTTGTTTTATATCATTTTCCAAAATTTCACTGAAAAGTATATGATTTTTAACAATGTTACGTTGTTTTTATATAGACCATATCATTTCTACAGATAATGTCAAAAAATGTCGGAATTTTGTGAATGACGGTGCAAAAAATTACTGGACGAATATGTGTTAAGGGGAGAGTCTCAAGTACAGTAAATCCTCCGTAATTGACGCTCAAATTGTACAACAAAATGGACAATTTGGGAAGAGGAGATACGATTACTCGTGCCTTGCGACCCGTTTTCATAGTTGTTGACAATCAGTAATTATAAAAACGAGCCGCAAGGCTAGAATAATCGTATCTTCTCTTCCGAAATCGTTCATTTTTGTGTACAATCTTCAGCAACTTTTTAATAACTTAAAACATTGACGAACTTCTCGACACATACTCATACATATTCTGTGGCATTCTAAGATAAATTCTTTTTTCCGTCACATTTTACTGACATTTACTGAAATAATATATCTTGTATGCATGTTGACCACAAAATTGCTCCAATTTATAAAACGAAGCGAAAAATCAACGTCGCAAGTTCTAATTAAATTTGATGCATCTTTGGTTGGTGGGCAATTTTCACCAAAATAATTCATCGTTGCCAATAGACAATAGATGTTCCTAAATTTAACACGATTCATACTTTATAATCCTTTTGCTTCTCCATATAACTAATAATTCCGTCTTACACACTTCTGCTCATCCAGTCATATTACATCACGAGATTAATTTAAAAACAGTTTAATTTAAAATAATTTAATCTAAATAATATTAATTTAATTTAAATACTTTAAAAATAACCTGATAAATACCTTCGCCAGTATCGATCAATGCTCGATCACGTTCGTCGCGTTTTCATAGTCAACGCGCATACAAAATCAACTAAAACATATTTTTCGTCGCGTTGAAACAATGCTTCGACTTTCTTTCCTTAAAACACGTGATCGTAATTGTCGCTGATAGCGAGCAAAAATTAAACGGGGAAACTGTCAGCCAGAAAGTTCCACTCGCGAGGAACAATGTTCGTCTTATGTAGATAGTTACGAAAAGATGGGTGGGGAGGGTGTTTCAGGAAGGTATCGCACGGAAGATTAATCATATACAGTGCAAAGAAGGTAGCGGCAACGTTCGGAGAATCTGCTGGACAGTGTGGTCGTTTCTGTGTCGAGCTTTTCACGAGTTTCCATTTCCCAATCTTCTTAGCTGTGTCTTTCTCTTGTAGCGCTGTGTTCTGTACCAATGTCGATGGTTGCTCGGATAGTTAGCTCGAGTTCCGGGCAACGCGTCGAGGGACTTCGATAGACCGACGTCGAATGATAATTGCCGACGCGGTGAAGTGATAAACGAGAAGGAATCGTCGATCGAGGAATTGTAGCACGAGTATACCGGGTGTTATGGGGAAATGTTGGAACTGTCGGTGATTGTTCCGAATCTCGTGGCCGATCAGTGAACAGTGACTTCGATCGAGTTGGAGCATGATGGGTGAAGTGATTCGGGTTTCCGGGAGGGCACCGGATGTTGGGGAGTTCCTGAAGGAGGCGATGCTGTCCCAGAGGTTCGCCGACGTTGCACTTTGCTGTCCCGATGGTCAAAGGTTCCTTGCGCACCGCCTCGTTTTGTCGGCTGCCAGTCCTTATCTACAGGTCTGTACCTTTTTCTATTTATTTGATCGTTTGCAACCTATTATATTGTGTCTCGATATATCTGCCGTCTTTACTGCGTGTCGGCTGAATTAGCACAAAGATTGATACTCTTGCACATTTCGAGGTTACTCATCCACGCTTGGAACGGTATTCCTCAATAATCACTGGACTACGGATCTTCGCGTATCTATGGCATGCGCAGATTTTTAACATGTAAGAAAGTGTAGAAATGTACACGTTCTAATAGCATTTGCATAAAGATCCGCAGCCTAGTAATCACTTCGTTTTACAAATTTATACGAACTAGTTATCTGTAATAATTAGACTGCGGATTTTTATGCAGAATAAGAATTGTCCACATCAATGTTACAAAACAAGAGTTAGAGTATGTATGTATGACTTTGATAAATACAGTGGTCTATTTTAAAACTGAACTAAATGACTGGAATTTTTTATAGACGATAGAGGGACTAGCCTACTAGACGATGACCGAAATGCTTTTTTTAAATTTTGCTATTACTTGGAGTGACAAAAAAATAATATAATAATACAGTATAATAATATAATATATAATAATTTTTTATCTAGATTTATAACGAAAATTTAAAAATCGTCTTTCGCAGATCTCGATAACTTATATGCATGTTGAAAATTTTATCGAAATCGATTCACGTTGTTACAAATTACAACAAATTAAAGATCGCAAAAATCGCAATTTTACCACGGTTAGAGTTTTTAAAATTCTTCAACGTCTGTAGCTCGACTCTGGGTTAACAGAACCTTACAGGATCATAAGGTTGCTAAGAGTAAACATTAGTATGTAACTGTTTATTTTAGTTTGTTTAGACGTAAAATAAATAAAAATCACAAGAAAAATACATAGCAATGTGTAGTTGGAATTTTACACGAAATATTTTTTCCAATGGACTATAAAGGTAACACAAATTATGGTTAGCCTTATTATGCAATGTCTTTTATTTATTGGTTTATTATAACAAAATGTTAAGTAAAATAGTACAAAATTATGAAATATAATTATTATACAAAATGATGTGCTAAAATTATGATATTCTGCGAAGCAATTTCTTTTGATTGTGAAGCAAAGATGAACATTGCACATATTATGCGTCCTATTTTCTATGCGGCGTTTAGCACAATTTGCACATCTTTTCATTTTTTCCGCTTTTTGCATGCTGTGTGCTGGCAAATTGCGTTTTGTACCAGAAATAACCGATAATTAAATAAGACAATCACCAATTTTAAAATGGGGAAAAATTTTCAGCACGCATATATTACCGATATCTAAAAGAGACATTTTTTGAAATTTTCGTTATAAGCTCAGATAAAAAAGTTAAAAAACGAGGGTTTTTTTCTTTTCATTCCAGTTTTGAAAAAGTTATTGTGTTTTATAATGTGTACGAACACTTTTGTGGCCCACTGTAGCAACAAAATTCTTTTCAAAAAAAGTTTTAAAATTCTTTTAGCATCTTCATTACTGTATCTCACTTACCAAATTTTGCTGTAAATGCATCGAATCCGCAGACTAATAATAATGCACGGTGCTTTAAATTTTGCTGTCATACGACTGTCAGTTGGTGCAACGGTTTCTCGACAACCTTCGCTATTTAGTTTCGCATTGAAAAATTTGAACAATGAAATATTAAGAAAATCATTTCATTGGAGAATGTAACATTTGTTGTAGCTTGGATGTTCGAAGGAAAACTAGTTACATAGATTGTTCCGAATACACGATAACGGACAGCAAAAAGATTTCCTTATTTGCAGAAAAATATCGCCGCCGTATAGCACTCGAATCGCATTTGCAACGTTTGTTAAACCATGACAATTAAAAGTGATATTGAGACAGCTACTTTCACGTGAAACACCGTGCATAACATGAATCATAAAATACCCAGCAACCGGCCTCATGATCTCTCGTTCGAGGATTAACGTGGAAAATGATTTTAATTCGTGAAAGTGGACTCGAGGAGGTTCGTTCACTTCCGGAACGGTCTGAAACGGCTCGTGAGATAGAAGACCGGCCGAGGTCGTGGAAACCTTGAGGATCGCTAATACCTATTATTGAAGAGCCATTTGTTACGATGATCGTTTGCGTAGCCTGTTGAACGTGTCCTTATCTAACTAGGCAATCGGCCTACCATTTTCAGCAACGTGCACGTCGTTCCAGCCAGATACCATAAAGAGATAATTAAGCCTGAACAAGTAAATGCCATAACAATCTGAAAAGAATCGGATCCGTGATTGTTGCTTTATCGACTACGGTCGAATTCCTCGAAATCGCCGGCACTCATAAGAAACGTTTAATTAAACGCCTAGATGTGTTCCTCGATCGGGGTAAAAGCGCGATTTTTTTGCCGATCGGCATTTAAATAATGTGTCGGCGCTAACGAGCGACCTCGTGCCCAGACGGTCACGTGAGCCAGAAAGTCAGGAAACAGAATACCCGCTCCTAACAGTGCTCGTTAACTATACACTGGCGCGTATTAGCTCAGCCCACCTTTCGTGGACGCGAAAAAAGAGTCGCCTTCTTATGTACGCGGCGCGTGTGTGTGCCCTGCAATCATTAGCCGTGTATAAAGCACCGGTTCTTCAAATGAAAGAACAGCGCGCGCAGATTCTTTTAAACATCGTTCAATCTTCAATCAATCAGAAATAGATTTATGTGGACATCGTTGCGGCGCGCGGTTACGGTTTTGTTTGAGGCAGCGTGGTTGATGTCTGGCGTGGACCGACCACGCTATTATGTTAATAGGAAAGGTTTTACGTGTAAAAAGACGCGCGGAGAATCAGTTCCTCGTCAGGCTTCGTTTCCGCGAAAATGGGAATCGCAGCCTAATGGGTCTGATCATTGCCGGTTGCTTCTACTTCGAAGAGGCACGATTTATGTGTGAACAGTACTGTGGTTGGCCAGATGGTATGAAATCAAAGGAATCGAGCGTTTATCCTCGCTACTGTCCAAGTACTTTTGAATATTTAAGATTTATCGTTAGAGCTATTTAAATATTTCTGAATGTGTAAGGTTTATCGTTAGAACTATATAAATATTTTTGAATATTTAAGATTTATCGTTAGAGCTATTTAAATATTTCTGAATGCGTAAGGTTTATCGTTAGAACTATATAAATATTTTTGAATATTTAAGATTTATCGTTAGAGCTATTTAAATATTTCTGAATGTGTAAGGTTTATCGTTGGAACTATATAAATATTTTTGAATATTTCAGATTTATCGTTAGAGCGATTTAAATATTTCTGAATGTGTAAGGTTTATCTCGTTAGAACAATATAAATATTTCTGAATATTTCAGATTTATTCTTACAACTATTAAAATATTTTTTAATATTTAAGATTTATCATTGCAATTATACATGTACAAATATTTTGTTCAATTCTAATAATTGAAATGATACAGTTAGCATTAGGATGCGGTTGTTTGCACAGTAATGATATTAACAAATATTTTCAACGGGAAACATGATAAAATTAAACTTATTCAGATTTCGTATAGTTCTTATTATAAAATTTTGTGTGAACACATTTTTGCCATTTCGATAACTGTACAAGAAAGAATCGAAAATGAAACTGTTTGATCCATTCGATAGTTTTATTGTACGCGTTAAATTGAAAATTTTTCACATTATATTCACTGCTTGAAATATATAAATAATAATCTTTATCGTTCGAAGTATTAAAAACTGTTAGAACGTATCACCGTGCTACTATATTTTTTATAATTTTTACATAACGTAATCATATTATTAATATTCTTTAAAAATATCGTTCTATACCGTATTCATTCTAACACTAACACTAATTTTCATTTCTATTAACCGTTCAAATAAGTCTTTCAACAATATTCATAAAATATTTTCCAGGTGTAGTACATCCGGAGATAAATAAAAAAAATATATAGAATTAAAAATTAAAAGAAACTTACTTCCGTTCTCAAAACGGACAATGAATCCAATAAAATATGACCGTAATAAGCTACAATTTTCTACAAAAAATAGTGAAGTTCACCGCAACAATATTTCATTCGAAACTTTCGATTTAGCAGAAAGAATAAATCTGTGCACATAACACTATAGTAATCGTCGTGCCGAGGGCGATGTTTAAGTAGAACCGTCTCACGATGGTCAGACACGATAGCCAAGTAGTAATCAAGCGCAGACACTCGGAGAACGAAGCGAATTTTCAATCTCGTTACATGCAAACTTCTTTGCTGATTCTTTCCACTGGTATTATAGTTTTCTGGACACCCTGTGTGCAATAATGAGGCGCAAGTACGGTAGAATGAAAAGCCGACTTCCGGTTGTCAAAGAAATTAAAGCTGCGCTCCATATAGGTCCGGTGGTCAGCTTAGACGAGCGTCTACAAACATACCTAATGGATCGAGCCGGGTAGAGCCCGAGCCAGCTTCTGTTCAAACATGGACAACTGGTCGCGGCTATTAATCAGTCGGGGTTACCGATCGGATCGCGTCCAGCGTCGCGCTTAAGTAGATGGAAGCAGTGAAAGTGAAGTCGATGGATCAATCTTGGAAAGCTTCCTCTTACGAAAGATTCCTGTTTGTTAAACGGCTGTCGCGGCTGCGTCGTTTTGCGCGGCATTATCTGATTCGACGATTAGGGAGCACTTTAGTCGACGATGCTGGAGGGCTTGGACATTTTACCTTTCTCCGAGGAGTGTTTAATCTTTCGACAATGTTTTCTCTTCCTCCTCCCCCCCCCCCCCCCCCCCCCCCCCCC